AAAAAAAAAAAAAAAAAAAAAAAAAAACTGTTAACATAAAAGTCTTATAGAAAAGCAACATACAGAAAGAAGATACCATCTTAAAAGAAAATGAGAGTCACATAACAGTTGTGGGCCGAGGAAGCCAAACACAAAAACAGCTGAGTGTCCTTTTTTGAATGTGCCTGACAAATCACAGTGGGAGCCATAAAGGAGAGGTTCATGTGTATTTTAAGGGGTGCACAGCTTTTGAGACAGCTTCCTGAAAAGAATTTGTATCATCCCCTTCAAGGCTCAGGGAACATCCAGAAGATGGTGTGGGAAGGATCTAGGACCCAGGGCCAAGCGTGGAGTCCAGTGGAGAGCTGTCTTCCAGGCACAGCGTGGCGTTTCCGATTTGCAGCTTCCAGAACCTGTTTCAGTCCCTTCTGTCTTTGGCTATACTTTATAATATTTTATATTTTATGTCAGTGCCTCTTAGTGTTCCTTTTGATTCAATATTTAGTATTCAAAATTTACAGCAAAACTTGTACGGTAAATTATTTTATAGTGAGAGACTAATTGGTCAACAGCACATCCTGGTGTTCCTCTTTTCCACCCCCTTGCTCCTTCTCAAACATGTGTGTGGTCTTTTCTGAGCTTTAATGTCTTTTTTTTTTTTCTTTGTTTTCTTTTGTTGGTTGCTTGGTTAGTTGGTTGGTTTTTTTTTTTTTTTTTTTTTTTTTGAGACAGGATTTTTTTTGTTTTGTTTTGTTTTGTTTTGTTTTGTTTGAGACAGGATTTCATAGTAGCTATGGAATCAGTCCTGGAAATCTCTCTGTAGACCAGGCTGGCCTCGAAGTCACAGGGATCCACCTGTCTCTGCCTCCCAAGTGCTGGGATTAAAGGTGTGTGCCACCACCACCCAGCAAGCTTTAATTTCAATTTTAAGACTTTGCTGCAATTACATGCTCATATCGAGACCCTAAGTTAGCAGCACTTCTATACCATAGCTTTTTATCTCTTAATTACTTATCCAGTTGAAGCTTAGGAGGCCCAGCCACATGTTACTAGTCTAGAAATAGAATGCACCAGCGATGGTGTCATCACTGAGCAGATTGCTTCCTTCTTAAATAAAAATAGCTCTCTGGAATTTAATGGGCAAGGACTGAAATCACAAGAATGTAGCTCAAGACACCCAGCAATGAAAACCTGTTTGCAGGACTACCTGGAGTTAGGAAGCCTGAGCACTGGTTCAGTGCACTCATTTGTAAACCCAAATATGGTTCTGTACCGTGGACCAGTCGTTGGGACATCAGATGAAAGCAGTTTCTGAAGTTTTAGAGCCTATATACATAGATATAACCATCAGTGACAGAAAATGTTTTTGAAGGATTGCTTCAGTATCAAAGATCTATAAACTTTTTTCTTATTATTTCCCAAATAAAATAATAGCAAGTATTTATGTAGGCATTTGCATTGTATTATGTATTGTTAGTAATTTACGAAGAATTGATTTATACAGGAATATTGGGAGTATTTTGCTTAAATATTTGTTTGGGGGTTTTGATTTTTTGGTTTGTTTGTTTGCAACAGAGTTTCTTTGGTCTAGGCCATCTTGGAACTCACTTTGTAGACCAGGCTGGCCCCAGAACTCACAGATATCCACATGCCTCTACCTCCTGATGCTGGGATTAAGGCGTGCACCACCACTGCACAGCTTACAGGAATATTGTTTATGTTGCATATGAATACTTCCTCCTTCCCATGTTGTAAATTGAACCCAGGATCTTGGGCATGGTAGACAAGCACTCTACCATAGTCCCTAGTTCCCCATTGCATCATTTTCTATAAGGGATGTGAGCATCCATGAATTCTATATTCAATAGAGGTTCTGTGACCTATTTCTTTGGGTGCTGAGAAATTGCTACAGGCCATGATTCTACGATTTCAAAGTGGATACTCCTGTTGTATAAGAAATCATAGGGACTGGAGAGAGATGGCTTAGCAATTAGGAGTACTTATTTGCTCTTGTGGAAGCCCTGGGTTTGCTTTCTAGAACCCACGTGGCGATTCACAACTGTCTATAATTCCAGTTTCAGAGTATTAGATGCCCACATGTAGTATACATAAACTTATCCAAATATACACACATACACATAAAAAGAAAAACTAATTAATTTCTCTTAATAGAAAGACTTTATGTTGTGAGTTGTCTTTAAGACGGTTTTCTGTAAGGAAGAGGGCTGCTGACTGGTACTGGATTTTGGGGACCACAAGAATGAGGAGTGGGAGGGAATTTAAACACAACGTATAATGATACACATGCGTTAAAATGTTATGAAACTATAAAGTATACAAACAAAATATAGGAGATACATACACACAAATTACCCTATATTACTGCTTCCATATAGCAGTTGCTATAGTATGTCTCTTTAAATTACTTGTGAAAATAATACTCTGCATATCAAATTTATCTAGGGAGTTCTAAGGTTTCCTGAATTCCAAGAATGTGAATATATTGGTTTGGTTATTTTGAAATTGTTAGTATTTGGGATTTTTTTTTCTTTTTTTTTTAACCCACAGAAATTTTATGTCATTTAGCCTGGTATAGATTGCACATCTCTATCTAAAAATTTGGGATTGGAACTGTTTCAGATTTGTGGTTTTCCTCTTGGTTGTGGTGGTGATGTTTTTGGTTTGTCTTGGTTTTGCTTTTGTATAAACTATCAGTTAAAGCACCATGACATGAAAATAAGAGGTGCTCTGAAACCTTGGGCTAGTGGAAGTCTTTCAGTGCTTGCTTCTAGGTCCTAGACTTTAGGAACAGGAACGCTTCCCCTGTGTTGTGACTGCACCAGCAGTTATCATTGCAGCTGCATTTGAAAGTTCTTTCAACCTAAAAACAGAATTTCTGTTGTATCTGGCTTGTGTTGTTTATTCAGTTAAAGAAGAATTCTCTCTCTGGATCAGCCCTGAGAAAACCAGGCAGTTAACTATAAACATGCAAATTCCGTGAGAATTTTAGAAGAGTGTACATTATCACTGAATTCACATGGCATTAAAAGTTTCTCATCTAGCCAGGCGGTGGTGGCATGTGCCTTTAAACCCAGCACTCGAGGCAAACAGGTGGAGCTCTGTGAGTTGGAGACTAGCCAGGTGTAGAGAGCAAGTTTGAGGACAGCCAGGGCTACACAGAGAGACCGTGTCTAGAGAAACAAACAAAGGTTTTTCACCCAGCCTTCTAAAGGTCTTGTCGTCTGAAGTCATCCTGGAGTGCTGTAGTGTTGAGGAGGAGCTCTCATGGTCAGAGGTGAGGTGTGCTGGCTGAGCCCATGTGAGGCTGGGGTAAGTAGGGCCAGAAAAGCCAGCATGGTCAGATTCCAGGAGATGACCTTAATGGTTTTGTGTAATTGGGGGGAAAGAATGAATCATTCTATCTCATGTTTATTTTATAGCATTTTGTATTTCCAGTGCTGGCTGTATATCCAAGACAAATGTTCTACTGTTTCCCTATGTTTAGGTTTAAAAAGCAGTATAACTGGGTGTGGTGGTGCAGAGGCAGGCTGATTTCTGTGAGCTTCAGGGCAGCCTGGTCTATGTAGTGAGACTCTGCCTCAAAATAGCAAATAAATAGATGACATTTTAAAAAGTAAAACTCATGGAAGATAATTTCATTCATGTGTCTGACAGAAGGCAGGCTGTCTTGGTTCAAATCCTAGCTCTCCTGTTTTCTTGCTGTCATTGGACAACTTAATACCACTAGGTATAAAATGGGATGATAATAGAAACCTATTTCTATGATTGTTAGTATTAACAGGGTTAATAAGTGAAAGTATTCAGCTCGATTCATAGTCATATTAAGTGTAAGCTGCTGCCTAATTACTATGATTAACTTGTTTATTGTCATTTTAGTTTTAGAATATTATTTTGGTTCCAGTGAAACATGACATAAGATAATTGTGGGTTAGACTGGGGTGATAGATAGCAAAGGAGACTCCCTTATTTGCTGGGTACATGTTCCAAGACCTCCAGTGGTTACTTAAAGCATCAGATAGTGCCAGACTTGTAACTGTTTTATCGTTTCTATACCTTTAATAAAGTATAACTTACAAAGTAGGCATAGTAAGAAGTTTAAAAAAATAGATAATAATAAAATAGCTGTAACAGAATGTTGTGATAAGTATGAATGTGGGCTGTCTTAGCGTGCAGCGTTTTCTATTTGGTGCTTTTAGACTATAGCTGAGCCTAGATAATGGACTATAAAATTGCAGCTCGGGAGACTGATATACTGTGTAAGACATGCTCAGAGGTAGAGCCCGTAGCATACCGCGTGTTTGGTGGATGAGTGTGGAAAGGGACCGGGAGAAGAAGGAGCAGGAGTCAGTACCTCAGATAATCTTGGAGCTACAGTGGTTTAAATACAGAAAGATGCTGCTGCTCTCTGCTGAGGCCTGTCACATACTGCTTGCTGTTAGTCTTGTGCTTCAGCATGTTTTTAGGTCCTTGCTTTCCTGCGGTAAAGTGTTCGCACTTCACTGAATTGTGATTGTAAGGCATCCTTTTGCCCACAGTAAGAATGAATGTATAAAGTAAATAAGAATTCAAGTTGGATCACACATAATGTTTTGTTCAGATTTGCAGACCTCCTGGAATTATTACAGACACCATCATTTGTTTCTCTTTAGCGTACTTGGAAATGTGGGGCTTTTTTCTGGCAGAATTATACCATTCCCTCAGCACCCAATTCCTAGTTATTGAGAAGCACCTTTTATGATATTATCTGAAATAAATGCTTTACGATTTCAGTTTGCATCATAAGATTGGAAAACGTGTACCTGAATATCTGCATGCTGTTTCGAGCGTCACTTGGGTAGAGCACCTAACTAGACTGATAGAGAGTCAAATATCCAATAAACAAGAAAATAAAATTGAGGCTGAATATTTAAGTCTTCTAACTATAAATTCTTGTGCATTTGAGTTAGAGTTCCTCCATTGCCATATTCTGTTAACACACTTCCTTTCTCTGATAACTGTTCTTTGTCCTTGGGAGAATGGTACACAAAATAGGACTTTCCCCCTCACTCCTCTGGTAGTGAGCTTCAGCCCAACTCCTGACTCCTCCCTCTCTTCCCTCCCTCTCCACCCATCCACCCTTGTAGTTACTGCCTATTTTTCTTGCTGGCAGTCTGGATTCTACTCATTTACCTAAGAGGGGGATTCTAGACAGACGGGAGACAGCTTTCAAACACACTGGACTGCTGGCAAGTCAGTGCCCACGGTGCATTTTGAAAACTCGGGAGCTTCTCTCTGGCGATGAGTTGCCCAAGATGCTAGAGTCTGTGTGAGCACATTTGTCTTCTTCCCTTTCCCCTTTCTTTCTTTTCCAAAGTCCCTTCTCCCTGCTTCCCCTCCTACTCTTTTATCCTCTCCCTCTGTGCTTTAGTTCTGCCGAACACAGGCTGAAGCACAATCCTGCATTGCAAGGCTTTCTGTTAAGGATTTATTGTGGCTTTTGTTTGGATTTCATCGGTGCGGAATTACAGGTAACACTCTGAAATTGAGTTAAGCATTTAAATTCTATTAAGATGTTTTCAGTGGTAAAATAGTACATTGAATTTAATGGAAAAATTAATCTTGGTTAATTTTTTATCAGTGATAATTGTAGCCAGATGTTTTCAGGATTACCATAAGGAGATTCTTTCTCCCACAACACGTTAAATAAAAGAAAATGGAGGTAGAATGGATCAATAAGTGCTTTCCTTTTATGTTGATCTTGTTATAGCTGCTCCACTGCAGTAAGCGCCCATTATGGATGGGTGTTGCTGAGAGGAAAGGGGTGGGTGGTAGCAGTCAGAGCTAGCTAGGGTTTTTGACTAGGATATGGAATGCAAAATGTAAAATGCTTTCTCCTTTTCTTCTATCAGCTGTTCAGAGGAGACTCATTACAGCTCCTGCTCCCAATCTTCCTCTCTGTCCCTGCCCCCACTCTCCCTTGGTGAAGACACTGCCCCCAGTTTACCTTACGCCCTTGGTGCTATGTGCATGGTAAACATGGCAGTATGGCCAGGTCTGGGACTGGCCAGACAACTGCTGTTGACTTTCCCCATTCCAGGAAGAATTTAAAGGGAAATTGCACAGCAAGCACTGTACCTCAGCAGCAGCACCACCAGGAACATGGTGACTAGTGTTCTCTGGGATTGTCTCACACAAACACACATGCAGAGTTGAATGCAGTGACAATAGCCGTTCCTGGGAACTGTGACAGCAGCCAAGTGGCTGCATGAAATGGGAACCAGTTCTCGAGCACGAGATGAACTCCACCTTGGATGGTGACCAGCGCAGCCATCCTTTCTGTCTCCTGGCACTGGGCTACTCAGAAACTGTCAGTTTTTGTCTTTTGGAAGCACTGATTGTTGTCTTTCTAACCACATTGATTATTTCTGGCAACATCATTGTGATTTTTGTGTTTCACTGTGCACCTCTGTTGAACCATCACACTACAAGTTATTTCATCCAGACAATGGCATATGCTGACCTCTTGGTTGGGGTAAGCTGTTTGGTCCCTTCCTTGTCACTACTCCACTACCCCCTTCCTATGGAGGAGGCCATGACTTGCCAAGTATTTGGCTTTATAATATCAGTTCTGAAGAGCGTTTCCATGACTTCTCTGGCCTGTATCAGCATTGATAGATATATTGCCATCACTAAGCCTTTAACCTATAATACGCTGGTTACTCCCGGGAGACTACGCCTGTGTATTTTTCTGATTTGGCTGTATTCCATCTTGGTCTTCCTGCCTGCCTTCTTCCACTGGGGCAAACCAGGATATCATGGAGATGTATTTCAGTGGTGTGCAGCGTCCTGGCACACCAACCTCTACTTCACATTGTTCATCGTGGTAATGCTGTATGCCCCAGCTGCCCTCATTGTCTGCTTCACATATTTCAACATCTTCCGCATCTGCCAACAGCACACAAAAGAAATCAGCGAAAGGCAAGCCCGATTCAGCAGCCGGAATGAGGAGACTGGGAAAGCCCACACTTGTCCTGATAAGCGCTATGCCATGGTCCTCTTCAGAATTACAAGTGTATTTTATGTCCTCTGGTTGCCATACATCCTCTACTTTCTGCTGGAGAGCTCCACTGGCTGCAGCAGCCACCTTGCATCCTTCCTCACTACCTGGCTTGCTATTAGCAATAGTTTCTGCAACTGTATCATTTACAGTCTCTCCAACAGTGTTTTCCAAAGAGGATTAAAGGGTCTCTCAGGGACTATGTGTACTTCTTGTACAAGTCACACTACAGCCAAGGACCCTTACACAGTTAGATGGAAAGGACCCCTTAATGGATGTCATATCTGAGGGGTTCATATACTCAGTTACTTTGTTTGCAGGAAGAAAGGGTGGCTTTGGTTCTCCTCTTCCCTTTAACCCTGTGCTCCACTTTACTAGGAGATAACTTGACTCGGAGCAGGTACAGACCATCGACACTTTTCAGTTTGCAGAAGTTGTTTCCTAAATGAGATTTAAAATTAGAAGAATCCAGATCATTAAAAAAAACAACAACAACTCGTGGTGCAGTTTTTGAAATGTCGTTGAAGTAAGATTCAAAAGGAATAAAGCCATAGCTAATCCTCTCCCAGCTGGTGTGACTGAACATGGGAGTGAGAAGCGGCAGCACTTTAAAAAACATCGCCATTTTCTTTTCCCTTTTCTGGATTCTTCCAAGCAACTTGGAACTTATGTGCAATTGATATCTTTTAACAGGGAATATTAAGATAGACTGATGAACTAACAAGGATTTTCTTTATCTGTGCCAAAATATAACTGCACTGTAAGTTTCAGCACTCCTTTAGATGGTGAAATGTCTTGAAAGAAATCTCCATAGGATGAATAATGTGATCCCTGAAGATTACTTTTGGAGTTTTGAAATGAACCATGAAGCAACCATGCAATGAAGTCATACAGTTTGTGAAAAACAGCTGCATTTACTTCATGCTTGTGAACATTCTGTACATGTGTGTAGAAGTGACATTACAGTGCTTTTTCCTGTGCCTCTGTGTTTGTGAATATTGAACATTTACATTGAGTTGGGTTTCTTTTTATAACAAAATGTATTTAAATAAATAATAGATGGATAGATGTCCATTGTAATGTGAAGATAGATGATAGATAGATAGATAGATAGGTAGATAGATAGATAGATAGATAGATATAGTGACTTTAGTGTTTTCTGTTCTTCGTATCCAGTCTTCAGTAAACAACGGAATTCGCTCAGGATTGATTGTGCTGTGTGCCTTTTAAACAGTCAGCTGACATCACAGTCACTGTTCATTTTAAAAAACGTTTTTTGTTTTGTTTTTTTTTTCAGGTGCTGGCCAGGAACCTCCTTTTAAGGGAGAAAGGTTCTGATTGGGCCAAGTCACCTACCTGTGATCCTCTTTTTGGGAAAAGTCCTCTGTCATATAGTTCTTTTCTCATTGTCTGTTTTTCCAAAGCACTAGCAAAATGTATAGAATTTTATTGTTTAGAATTATTAGAATGCTTTGTATTGATATATAGTTTTACCTTTGTTTTAAAAGTGATTGCCTTTGAAAGCAAGGGAATTGTTTGTCTAAAAGGAAGAGAGCTGTTAGCAGTTCCAATCAGTACTTCCTGGACTTTGTGTGTTTTCATTTTTAGAAAGTGTCAGGGAGATTAACTGGCCTCTGACTCTGGCCAGATGTTGTCATGCAGGTGGAACTGTGATGTTCAGTGAAACAGGCAGTGGAGGAGACCAGGGGTGGTAGCAAAAATGGATTTTCAAATCAAGAAAGGGTAAGGATGATTATGAAACCCCCAGATATGCTTTGGTTCTCCATCCTGATGTTAGAAGGCTATTCCCATTTAAATAGAAGGTATCGTGTCTGTCCCCCCCCCCAATTCTTTTATTGTACCCAGAGCCTTGTGCAAACAAGGCAAATATTTCTTTTATATTAACAACATAATTTATTTGTTCTGTTCTTCTTTTAAAGCCAGCGTCTCACTTTTTAGCACCAGCCACCTAAGAACTAACTATCTAGACCAGACTGGACTTGAACTCACAGAGACCCACTTGTCTCTCTCCTGGAATTAATGGTCCACCATGGCCAGCCCCTAGCCAATTTTAGGTTTTAGACATTGATTTTTATTTTAACCTCAAATATCTTCTTTTTTAAGCTTTTTAAATGACTAAGAATTATAAAAGCTTCAGAATTCAAGTTCTAGAGGCAGGTAGATCTCTGTGAGTTCAAGGTCAGCTTCATCTACATAATGAGTTCCAGAGCAGCCAGAAGTACGTAGTGAGATCCTCGCTCAAAATTGAATTAAATTAAACGGATTCTGAGTTTTACCCCAATCTTGCTTGTTCTGCATAGTTAATATTAGCAAATGTAACTCAGCTGTTTCAGAATTTAAAACTAATGATGAAAATGCTCGGTTAGAAGTAACTTTGTTGCTAGATGGTGGTGGCACACGCCTTTAGTCCCAGCACCCGGGAGGCGAGGCAGGCGGTTATATGTGAGTTTAAGGCCAGCCTGGTCTATGAGACAAAGTTCTGCTGCAGTGACACACATCTACTTAAAATCAGCATGACATGATGTTGTTAAACGTATCTTGATATTCTGAATCTGATTAGTTTAACATGGGAATTCCCCTTCTCCCCTTTGTAGAGTTTAGAAGCCTCTTTTCTGGCCGCACCTCCCCAGGACCATAAAGATGCTGACAGTGTACATTAGGACAGCTCTTATCTGCCTTTTGACCTGAGAAAATTCAAGCTCAGAAATTGTCTTTGTTCTGTGTGTGTATGTAAGCTGAAACTTAGCAGGAGAAAAAAAGAAAAAAAGAGAAACTGTTGCAGAAAAGTACATAGTGGAGAGTTCATTTCACCCTCAGATCTAAATTCCGTGCTTGCTGTGAGTCTTCTGAACCCTGAAAGGGACACTGAGGCTGGCACTCAAGGACCCTGGGTAGAATTCCAGGGCAGCCCAGGTCACACAGAAACCCTGGCCCGGAGTTGGGAGGGAACATAGTTGAATTTCTGTTTCAAGTAGAAAATGTTTTCTGCTGGATTCTAGAAATAAGTTCGTAAATATCTGTCTCCTTGCATTACACAGCTGAAAGGTCAGCTCCGTAGACTTGGTGGGGTGCGTGCGTCTCATTCCCTTTTGTGAAGTCTCCTGTAGCTCTCCCTTCCTCCTGCTCCCCAGTGCTGGGATTTCAGTTGTCCACCAACCACACCAGCTTGTTTTTCATACATGCTAGGAAGTTTAATCTTTTCATATTTGCATTGTGCTTATGAATTTTTAGTTCAGCAAACATGGGAATCTTGAAGATGGTGTTTATTAAAATGTATTAAATCAGTAGTAAGAGAACAGCTTTTCCTTTTAGAAGAAGTGAAGCCCTTTTCATTCTTTAGTTCTGGGGTTCCATTTTGTAACAGTGGGAAAGAAAGTTATTCGGTGTTGGCAGTGCATGCAAGCATGGCTTTTTAATTACGATCTTTTTCTAACAGTTGCTTAGTTTTACAATATCAAGTTCTGGTTTTATTAAGGCTTTTTTTTTTTTCAAAGTAGAGTCTGTAGTGCTGTTTGAAGCTCAGACTGAAGAAGAAAATAAGTAGTTGTAGTAAAGAAGAAGAGGTAGATGTTGTGATGCTTGGTAGTAGCAGACGTCTTCCCAGTTTATCTTGTCTTCATTGTGCTCAAGGAATCAATCCTGTGATCTTTGATTCATTGTGGGCACTGCTGGTTTATTTTTAATTTACTGTGTGGCAGGACTAGGGTTAAGAAGAGATGAAGGGAAAAGTTACATAGTCTTAAGGAGCTGGGAGAATTCTCTCTGCATGATAGCTTTGAAAAGTTTTTTTCTGGCACATTTAATGCAACATTTGATGACATTTTGTTTAAATACCAATCCGAATAGTTCAGAGTGAAAAAAAAAAAGCACGTATTTTTAGACTCAAATACCAGGGATAGCTCGTCTAACTCGGTGGTGTGTGACTGGTACCAGAATACACATATACTTTTAGAGATGGTGCTGCAGTTACTTCATAATAAAGCTTCTAAAGTAAGACCATGCTAATTGTTCAGCTTGTAGATGGATTGTGTGGTCTTCTGCAGTCATTCCAGTGAGGACGTTTTGGTCCTCTTAGAGTGGGGAGTAGCTGCCATGTGAGCCAGTGGCTACCTTAGAAAGAATACTGCACAGCCCAGTGGTTGACAGACTTGCTGCTGCTTACTCAGAACCCTCTTTTGTACAGGTTTCTCTTAGCAGTATTGCTGCATAAATTCTCTTCCTCTGTACTTAGTTTATTTCATATTTTTAGGATTGGAGAAACTTGAACTTTCATATTATAAATGAGCTGTCCATGCCCTTGAATGTGAAGTGGCAGGTTCACCAGCTTAGATGTAGAGGTTTTCCTCTGCTTTTCCAAAGTTCCTTTGAAAAATGTACACAATGACTTTATAGAAAATGTCTTAATTTCATTGACCTTGTGCTTCTATTTTAAAAAGATTTGTAAAATAAGTTTTTGGCAAACTAGACTTTATTGGTATATGAGCAGTTTGGGAGACATTTAAAGGTGGGAAAATTGTGGCATTGGGAAATGTAAATCATGGCATGTTGTGGTTTTGCATACTTTTCCTGTTTCAGGTTGAAGAAAAACCAAATGTAAATATATTAAACTGTACATGTTATTGATGTTATTTATAGATTCTAGAAATGAGGTAGCTATTTCTTTTTGAGGGGGTGGGGTTGGAGAGTGTTTTTCCGTGTAGTCCTGACTGTTTTTGTAGGCCAGGCTGCCTCAAACTCAGAGATCCATCTGCCTCTGCCTTCCTAAGCACTGGTATTCAAGATGTGCACCACCACTGCCTGACTGTGGTAGCTATTTCTTAGGACTACAAACGAGTCACTGGCATTTCTTTAAAAATTGGGTGATAAAAGGAAATCTGGCACAGTAACAATGAACTTTGTACTGCAAATGTGGAAACCTGGTGAGCTGGTTAGTAAAGGCACTAGAGGTCCTTTCATTCTGTGGCTCTGAAGGACTGAATCAGATAATGTGAAGCGCTTTGTGCGTTCAAGTGATGACTCTTCCTACTTGCCATAGCTTCACGTGGAGGCTGTATGTCATGGTGAGCTTCCATACATTCAGTCATGGAATAGATCACTACTCTGTGCTATTTAGCAATCCAGACCTGAAGATTATATAAGTACTAGTTTACTTCCTTTTTCTTTTTTTTTTTTTNTTCCTTCCTTCCTTCCTTCCTTCCTTCCTTCCTTCCTTCCTTCCATCCATCCATCCATCCATCCATCCATGAAAAGAGTAGTGTGGGAATACATTCTCAGTAACTGTTCCTGAGGCTGCCCTATGCCTGACATTGTTACCAAACTGCAGTTTCTCACAGCATAGATGAGCTGCACATAGTCGGAACGTACCTTACTCCAGAGCCAAGTAAAAGAAGCTATAAAATTCAGCCACAGAAGAGACTAGAGATGTTGGAACCTTTGGTGCTATGGCTTTGCTTTCTCAGTTTTCTAGCTCTGTGTTCTCTGTTCTGACACTGGTGGCTGTATATCCAGTAAAGTGTCATCCCTGTCTCATAAAACATTCTGGCCCTGAGACATTACACATGGAAAGTTCTGAAGTTAGGTTTTTTTTTTTTTTTTTTTTTTTCGAGATAAAGTTTCTCTGTGGGTTTGGAGCCTGTCCTGGAACTTGCTCTGTACACCAGGCTGGCCTCGATCTCTCAGCGATCCGCCTGCCTCTGCCTCCCGAGTGCTGGGATTAAAGGCGTGGGCCACCACCGCCCGGCTTTACTTCCTTTTAATGCCTGAAAAATTGGTGAAGGCAAGGGGCAGTACCCTGATAGCTGCATTCCCCAAATATCACACAGAATCCACTCCAAAACAGAAGTCTGCGTAAACAACAGATGAACAAGTTACTTGCTCCCTTCTGTCCTTCTGGATTGATAATAAGACTGTTTTAAGCACTCTCAAGCCCTACACGCAACTTTCTATATGATCTGGGCTACTCTACACTCTTTAGAACGATACTGTTTCCTCCTTTTTCCTTCCTTCCTTCCTTCCTTCCTTCCTTCCTTCCTTCCTTCC